AGGAATGCCAGGGCTTGTACTTCCAAATAAAGAATAAAGTATTCCAAGGCAACCGACCGTACTCGAGCATACCACTGGAGGACACTCTGATAAACTGTTTTGGCAATGAGACGCCGATGACTTGTATCGAACATCCGAAGGTCATGATCACCGCGACGCTGGGGGACCGGCGCCCCGTCGACCTTCACTTCTTCCGCAATTACACCTCCTCCAACGATATTCTACAATTACCGACGAACAGCAAATTCAAGAACACTCTACCCCCGTGTGAGCAGCTCATATGGAAGGCGGCGAGGGCTACCGGAGCTGCACCCACCTACTTCGAAGCCTTTGGCCGATTTATCGACGGCGGCGTCATCGCCAACAACCCCACCCTCGACGCCATTACCGAGATTTACGAGTACAACCTCGCACTCGAGGCCGTCGGCAGACATAGTGAAATAACGCCCTTGTCCTTGGTCGTATCCCTGGGTACGGGCTTGATACCCGTGGAAAACCAGAGGTTCGACTTGCATTGGCGCGGAAATTTAAAAGAAGTTGCGCTACTATGTGAGCCGACCCGCTTCTCTAACATTATAAATCTTAACAAATTAATACTTGGCCAGGCTGTGGCAATGTGCTTGACAACTCGCTTCTCTCTGTTTAGTGCGCAACATGTTTAACCTGGTTATCGATCAGGCGACGACCACCGATGGTCGGATGGTCGATCGAGCAAGATCATGGTGTTCGATGATCGGCGTGCCGTACTACAGATTCAATCCCCAGCTTGCGGAGGATGTGCCCCTCGACGAAACCAACGACCTTAAACTCATCGATATGATGTGCACTACTAGGGCCTATATGCATGCAAATCGTAATCAAGTCAAGGAGTTGGCTCTCATATTAAAATCCATTTCGGAAGATAATTAGTTCGATCAATGGCTGGAAAAACACTTGGCAAGCAATTTATTTGAGTAGTATATCGTTAGGAGAAAATTTTTATATGTAATACCTAATACAGGGCTTTGTTGTTTATTAGGATATTTTTAACGTTAAAATAGATTGGAATTGTTCATGAATTATTTTTTAATTGTTATAAAAGATATATATATATATATATACCATAAATTTTATTTTAAATTATGTTATTTATCTTATGTAAAAATTACCTTGTAAACTGCTTATTAATTATTTATACGAGATCGACGAAGAATCGATATTAAATTAATGTATTTCTTAAGATCATTTTGTAACTCATCAAAGGTATCTTATATACTGATAACAATAAATAATTATAAGTGCCTTAAACTATAGATATATATATATATATATATATATATATATATATATATATGTTACGTATACATAGAATTGCCATATAAATGTAGGGCGGTTATTCTTCTTTTTAAAAGCCTCTCATTTTTAATAATAAAAATAATGTTCATTTAGTTTTGTTTATTGATTAAAACTACATACTTATAGACATAGAATAATACAACTTTTTGGTTACTAATGTCTTTGCACGTGCAACATGTACAAGGTCTGTCATAATGCATCGATACCTAGTAATACAATGTATATGTGTATAAACCTACTAATTTTCTCAGTCACTTTATCATCTGTAAATCATCAACATAGAATATAAATCAATCAGGACTAAACTCTTTAATAATTGAATTTTACAAAACAGTACACATATTGTCGTTATATAATTAATTAAGTACATAAGATCGATGTCTACGTATAATTCCAATAATCGCACTCGATCACACGAAAATTATAATTATTATATTGATGCAATAATTTGAAAGCATTTCGTTCTCTTCTTCGTAAATACATATTATGTAATATTGAAAAACTTACGCTTACTGTTAGAAAGGTTTATATGCGTATGTATATACATACATATGCGTAAATACATATGCAGGATAAAGGCTAATGATTTGTTGTTCATTTTTCGAGACAATTGGTATTTTACAATTAAATTTTGTAGCCTATAATTTATTATTATGAAAAAATAATAAATATTTAAACACTTCCTATCAATGTGAAAAATGAATAAAAATTTATGAAATAAAGAACAACTATTCATCGTGATATATGTGAATGGAGTATGATGTACCAAAAATAGATGATGTATGATTATAATAACAATTTACAATTCATCGTAAAGTACATATTCTTCTTCTTTTTTTTCTCATACGTATCTCAATATAAGTTAACCGTTAAAAATAATTTTACAACGATTATAATTTCAATATTCACATAGAACAGTTAAAACTATCAATTGCTAAAAAAAACAGCAGGTATTGCAATTTTTCAAAAGTTTTTAAATCTTAATTATAAATAATATATGAATGTTCTGAATGAATAAAATATGAATAATAATCAAATACTAATTTGTAGGAGGAGGAGGAGGATTAGGAGGGTGGTATGTTATGATTCTACTTGCAATATCCATAAAAGTAATATTTTGTAAAATACACTAACGTATGACAAATTGTTTTATTTCATATTTTTCGTCTTCATTTTTGTCTTATTTTTTATTTATTTTATTTGTTTTGTTGTTCTTGTTGTGGCTATTGTTCGTTTTTTAATGACGTGCACGGGCAGGTATTTATTTTATAAAGGCTAATGCGTATTTCAAAGCAATATCATATCATTAACAAGAAGTACGTTTGTTTGATAAAAAAAAAAAAAAAAAAAAAAAAAAAAAAAAAATTTATGAATCTACGAGTTTTACGAAAGGATGTGACTAATTTCTGAATTTTGAAGTAAAATTTAAATTTAAATTTGAGATGTTGTTCTTTTAAGCAAAATGAGTCGTTAATCAATCCCGAGCAAAATATCGTTGAACATATTTACCAATGAACATATTTTTTTTTTTGTTTTTTTTTTTTTTTTTTTTTTTTTTTTTTTTTTGTTTTACTATAGGATTATAGCCGTAATTTTGCGAGCACGCACTTTCAAATGAAAACTATTGTTATTTACAAGAAGACTGTTGGAGGGCGAGTAAAAGAAAAATGGTTTTGACGGTGCGTCGTCGGAGAACTCGAGATGCCTCAGCTCTTGGTCTATCCAACAATAGAATTCGCCAAGTCGAATTATCCGACATAAAATAAGCAATTGAACGTCCGCTCCATACGACTTTGATATTGCTTTTACCGCGGACTCCCGTCCCCAGGTTCGAGGCTCTCATCTACTTTCACTTTTCTCCTTTAACGGAGGTCGAATTGAGCGAACGATCGCAATTTGGGAATACCCGGAGCGTCGCACTTGACCCTCTATTCCTCGGCCTTAAGCGTCGACGAGTCAATGTGCCGCGGATCAGGTTCGCGTGTGCGCCACCGTCGCAGTCGTCCTCGTATCCGTCCTGGAGTCTGGAGTATGCAGGAAAGTCCGATAGCTCGAAGGGTTTGGGGACTGCGCTGCGGCCTTGAAGCAAACGATGGCGGCCTCGGTAAGTAAGTTAGCAGCTAACAGCATCGAAGTGATTAAACGCGAGAAAGAGAGTCGGTCGTCGCTCGGTCAGGAGGAATGTTGCGGCCGCTCATCGGGGCGCGACGTAGTAAGGCGTCTGGCCAACCGAGGGTATGTAGGGGTAGAAAGGCGAGTGGCCGGGCTGGGATTGGCCGTAGTCGAGTTCCTCGTGCGTCGACGGTTGCTGGTGGTAGGCCTCGGTGGCGTAGCACTGGCCACCCTGACCGCAGCCATAGGACTTGGGCTCGGGATAGCAGCGCTGACTCTCGTACGCTCCGGCCCGCGAAAGTCCCGCCTGTGCCTGGAGCTCCGCGTACTCCAGGCATTTACCTGGGAATTAGGGTAAATGGTCAGGTGAGGAGTGTCGAGTGTCGATCGAGTGATTCGGCTCGGGAAGATGCGTTGCCAGGATAGTTTTGATGATGGGAAAAGTGGACGAGGTGAGCCGACAACTTTTCATTCCCCGTGTTTCGGAAGTATGAAGGTCCGTAGCGATTGGTTTGATCGTCGGAACCAGTCGCCAGCTCCAGAGTATTCGAGATGGTGCCAGAAACTGTGATTCGGGCTTGGCTCCGCTGGGATTGGGGGAGGTGAGAGAAGCGGGGGGATGAGATTACCGTGCGAGAATCCATGCTGTTCTAGGGTGTATTTGGTCATCTCGTAGGGACCTCGAGGAGAAAAATCGGACGCATAGGCGGAGGCCGCAGACACCGCGCGCTCGTAGCTCGACTTGGTGGGATTTGAGGAGTAGAGGCGGCCGTAAGCGCAGTCGGGATTGCCGACGACGGCCTCGAGGGCGATCGGGTGGCCTCGCTGACCGAGCGACGGGCCCGTCGTTGGCGGAGGAGTCGACGTCGTCGTGCTCGTCGGTGTCGCGATCGCCGTGTGTTCCTCGACTTTTGGCTTTCTTCGTCGCGGTTGGTACTGAAAGTTGAGAGAGTATAGCGTTAAGTCGGGAAAGCCAATCGCATGCTTTATTCTGGGGTTCTGACAATGAGTAGGGTAGACTTTTTTTTTCATTGAGGTATTATATTGGTATTGGCGTGATTTTAAACAATTTGCGAAAAGTGTATGAGCTTACTCGGTGACCTGTCGGCCTTGGATTAAGAAATTGCGGATGGACGAGCAAAATATTCGATGAAAGTTGGAGTGATCAGATGGGATATGGAAAATAGAAGGGGATGCATTGGCTGTGAAGGTTAAAAATATCAAAAAATTTTATGAATTTGATTAAGATTAAAGTACAATTGACATTTATTCCGAGGTAGTTGTGCCAGGTTCAACAAGCGTGAAAATATGTTAAATATGTAAAAGAAATTGATATTTAAAATTAGAGACACGAGCATTCCGTGGCTATTCGAGAATAATTTTCCAATTTTGCGACGTTGACTCGTTAAAAAGTATAAGGAAAAGTATCGGGACTGTTAAAGGACGAAGTATTTGTAATGGTAAATTACCTTATAATGAGGGTGTTGTTTTTTATGGGCACTCCTCAGTCTTTCTGCCTCTTCTATAAATGGCTGCTTCTCTCCATCGCTCAAAATTCTAAATAATTATTTAATATAGTTTCAATGTATAATGGTATAATGGTAATAATTATTGTATAAATACGCATTTGCCTAATATCTACGAAAAAGTTGTCTTGCTCAATCTCTATCTAAACTCGAAACTTTATTGAATATAATGAAGAAACTTTTATCCTTGGCCTTTATTAATTTATTTTTAAACCAATTTTCATGCCCATAATTGAGTATTGCCCATAAGTAATAACAATTTACCACTATGTAACATGCATATATATAAATTTTATTATTCTGCTATTTCCGAGTTAATGGTATCGATTATCTTTCGAATATGTCAACGCGTATGTCAGTGTGTGCGTGTGTGCTTGTGCGTGTGTGTGCGTGTAAGATATTTTTTCTCGTAGAACATAGAACGTAGAAGGTAGAACGAAGATTATCAAAATTTACTTACTATTTATTCCCTTTCATAATTTACTTAAGATATATTTGTTAGTTGTAATGGCGCGAAACGATGTTTATCTATTTTTTTAAAAATCAACTAATTCGATTACCTTGAGTAATTGAGTAAAAGCCATCGGGTATTTACAAATTGGCGTGCTCTTCACTGAGAGCTGCCAACTATTAAAAATAGTAGGCATTTCGTTCGAATTAATACTGTCTAGTCGTATTCGCACATATTTATCAACTAGTTTTCATATTACACTTGGTAGCACTGTTTTTTTTTTTTTGTTTTTTTTTTTGTTTTTGTTTTTTGTTATCTTGTTGTTTTTCTTTGTTAATAGCACTTTGTAAAATCAAGCCGGTAAAATGTTTATAAAAATTTGATATTTTATTGTTAAATTATATAAGTTTCACGTGAACTTGTTGCCTTTGTCCTTATTAGCCTTACTAGTTTCTTATTGTTTTAGATTGTTCGACGATCAAGCACATATAAACATTGTTCGTGCTAAAAAGGCTTTATAACTTATTACGATACATAAATTATTTATCCTTTAATGCTGATATTAAAAATACTGTAAATCGCCAAATGTAATATGACCGAGCATAAGTATATTTTTATGTAAATGGCCGTAAGAGAGTCGTAGTGATGCATTCGCACACGCGCGTCACTTGAGCTTAGCCTAAGACACTCGGGGGTCCTGTCCAATCCAAAAAGTCGGTCAATTCGAGTCGCGGTTATGCCGATATAACATCTAAATTCATAAAACCGATTCACCGCCTCCTCGTCTCGTTCGGTCGGAGCGCGACTCAAGCCAGAATACAACGATATAAGCAAATTCTTTGGTCTATATCGACAGTCCGTTCGATTTTAGTCGCTGTAACGGCAAAGATAATTTTAGTGCTAAATGTGGAATCGTACAAAGTGAGAATTTATTATGAAGGTGTTTCTTCACCTTCGCTGCATATTGTGATTTCTTTCACGAGTACTTCAAACACGCAAGAATTTCTTAAGGTGATAATGGCTTGGTATGCGAAGATACTGGATTGACTTTATACGGATGACAAATGATCTGTTGGATAAATAATCTGTAGGGGAGGGGAATTAGTAAGGTGAGCACATTTAATTAATACCGCTGTCAGTTTCGAGCAATTGAAAAATGAAGAAGAAGATAAGTCATAATAGTACGTAGCCAGTAATAATAATAGGAATGATAATATTAATGACGACTATGAGGAATACGTTTTAAATTTATTTTTAAATGCTTTATTGAAATATACCTGTGAAAATTTGCGGGATGCTGAAGGATGCCCGAGGACGAACAGTTGGTTTGTTTATTTAATTATGATAATGTTCGAGTAAGTACTCTCTGGGTGGAAGAAATTAAAAATTCTTATTTATGAATTATTAAACGGATTATTAAAAAATGTTCTTTCGAGAATATCGCGCAAAAAAATTGAAAAGCAACAAAAAACCAATTTTTACAATTCTAAAGAAAATACTATATTTGTATACTTTTACATACGGATAATTATGATTTTAATGTACATCGAATCAATTATGAAAACTGCTGCAAATGCATTATATCTTCATGATAGTTGAAAATAAAGTTTTACATGTTTTGTATAATAGAAGGAAACGGAAGCAAGAATTCGTTCATTTATTCGAGATTTATTTAATAAATTGATTTATTTGATATCGCATAAGTTCACATTATCACGATTAAATTATCTCAAAGTCTAGGTGATGCAAAAATACGAGATAAAATTACAGTCGCCAATGCTTATAAACAAAAGAATAGGAAAAGAAGAACAAAACAGTACGACAGTTTGTTCCAAACGGGAAAGAAAAACATATTTGACATGGAGCTATAAAAGGGAAAATTTATTGATTTTTTAAGGCTAGAATTTATCGCGAACTGTCTTCAACTTAATAAATTAGAATAAATCGCTTGAGAAGATAATATATAATGCTGCACTGGTTGGCGATGAGAATAAAAACAACATCGTATATTGACAGTATTTTTAAATGACAAAAATTCTGAGTTCGTTGCAAAGAAACAAAACGAGAGTAGAGCGACAAGAGAGTGAAAGAAAACAGAGAGAGAGAGAGAGAGAGAGAGAGAGAGAGAGAGCGCAAAAAAAAAAGGAAAAAATATCGGAAAATAATAGCGTATAAGTAGTTTTAATTAAAAGATTTAAAGATTCACGCTCTTATGCAAAAACATAAGTGATAAGGACTCGAGTAGCTCGAGATTTATATACCGAATTAGGATATTAAGAACCTATACGGCTACATGAATTTTGACTATAAAAAAAATCTGACTACTGCATGCTGGTTGTGGAAACCATATCAGCAATAGTGTTTATATAATCTGAAGGATTTTTGATGTTATTAAGTAGATTTGTGGTCCCACTGGCATCCTTACAATCCACACAATCGGGCAAAACACGGAAACGCATCCTTGACGGAAGTTGTCCAGGAGAGCTATTACGATAGGCTCGTACTTCGAGTCTCTCTCTCACCTCCAGAGCTTGCCGAGGGTCTTGGAGAGCTCGGCGTTGTGCAGCTGGGGATACTGATCGGCCAGCCTCCTCCGCGCGGCCTGGGCCCACACCATGAACGCGTTCATCGGCCTCTTCACGTGGGCGCTGCGTCTGCCTCCGGCCCGTGACGTCACCGGCAGCAGGGTCCAGTCGTAACCTGAAACAGCGGAGCCCTTAGGGAGTGGCGCGAAATAGCGCTGGTCACGGTGCGCGGACCCCGAGGGCTAAATTCGCCTCGGGAGTCGAGCGGCTAAAGCGTTTTGCCCACCCCCGTCGTTGAGTGGATAATGTCGGGAGCGAAAGCGACGGGGCCCGACTGCCGGACAAATCCGTCGAACAAAGTCATCCAAGTAAGTGTTTTGGTGAGGGCCGAACCGCGAGGGAGGCGCACGACGGAAAATGCCGAACTCGCGGTAGGGAAATGAGGCGCCCCAGCGAAAGTGGAGGCTGCGTCTTGGGCGGATGCATTTACCGAGGCGAAGGGCCGCTTTGGTGCGGAGTGGCCCCGCCGCGAGTTGCGCTGCACTTCCGTGTACGCCGCGCACCGACACTACATGCGCTCCGAACCAGTCGATGCTATCTCCTCGATTCGTAGCATCATGTAACGTAATGAAAATGGCTTGTAAGATGTTTTAGTGTACACTATAATATTACAGAGATATTGCCACTTTTAATTAATTGTGGAAAGCTCTAGCTTACATGCAACGAATATCGATTTTCTATCTCTCGTTTGATACGGGGCGAATGACGAATGGTAAATCACTTCGATATAATAAATAAAACCTTGAGAGTTAACGATAAGTGATTTTTACGTTTTGTGCGCGCGCGTGTGCGTGTGAACATTATATGCATTACATCAATTGTTGCAAAAGAATACGGTAAAGGCGAATGTTTATAATTCGTTCATATTGATTATAATTTTTTTCTTTCACTGACACGTTGAATCTTACGTCATAAATCTACGAATATATAAAAGTCTAGAGCTTGTTAAAACAAAACAAAAAACAAAACAAGACAAAAAACAAAACAAAAAACAAAAACAAAAAAAAACGAAAAAAAACGAAAAACAAACGAAAAAAAAACAAATGGTCCCAATCCGTGTGTGGGTCATGTCATGCGAAAAATGATCTTATGTGGCCATTAGATTTGTTTCTTGCGATAACCCACGTGTTAATTTCAGCGCATAGATTAGAAAAATTAATCGCCAATCCCGTAGGACGCGATATCCGCAATAATCTTCTATCGCTCGTTTTTGCTAATAATGCTTTTGGACAGCTAAAGCCATGTCGATTTATTCGCAAAACGCTACCACTAATTCCTCGACTCTACCACTTAGATTAATATTTTCTCTTACATTCTCGTAATTTGTGTAACTATGTCAGATAGTCTAAATTTAATTATTTTATAATTTCTATTTTAATATATATTTCACTCTAAAAGCTGCCTCGACTTTTACTTCTCGGAAAAATCGCAATAATTTTTGTAATTATTACATCGATGGGCATTGCCGTCGCAAAACGCCCGAATAAAAGTGGCAAAAAAATTCTTGGTCTATTACGCGTTACAATAATTATTTATGCTGCGATCCCTCGTAAATCTAGGCGCTTTGCATTTGCGAATCACCTATTTCAATCGAGGATTGTGCGATGACGCGAGGTCGACCCTATTAACGTCCTCGTCGAAATTATCGTTCAGTCGCCAATAATCATTGCCGAGTCGGCAATCAATTCCCATTGCCAGGATAATAGTTTGCTCGACCGCTAGTCACTCGTAAGCGCTCCCTACCCGCAAGGACTACAAGACTCCAATAGTGGCGAATTATAGCCTGAGACGGAAGTAAAAGCACGAGAGATTAAATAAGAAATATATGTGTAATTTACTTAGCGGGCTTACACCTGCGTCACCATGAGTCGCCGTGGATATTTACCGATCGCTTATCTCCTTCCGTCCTGTCGTCCCGCCCGCAGGCCGACTCAAGGCCAAAAGCGATAGCGGCGACTCCTTCGTCCCGGCTTTTTACGATCGCTACCACTCGCGTGCCGTCTCCAGCCCGCGTGCTTTCACTCCTCGTCCGCTCCTTCCCCCAAAGAAAATCGACCTTCTCAACAACAACATTCGACGCTCCTATAATAATAATAATAGCAGCAGCGCCGCGCGACTCCTAACCGCGCTAAGTGGCTCAACGGTTATTCCTCTTTATGGATGAATTTTGGAATTTATACAGCCGGCCCTCCCAAGAAAATCTCCGTCTCTAAATTTAGGCCTCGGCGATGATAAGCCATTACTCGTGGCCCATAGCCTGCCCGAGACTCTTACAAAACGCCGCGAGCTAATAATATCCGTTACTCGTGTTTCACGTAAAAAAATCCCAAATCCTCCGGTCGGCCCGCTTTTATTAATAAAACGTGGAAAAAGCGACGTGCAGCCGGCCGACCGCAGAATTAGCGCAGAGTTCGCGCGGATTGTGCGCCGACCCATTTCCCCTTTTCCACGGGCTTTTCCCGCTATTTTTAATGGCGGCGCGCTTCGACGGCGAAGGACAAGGGCCCACGTGGCCGATCGGATTTTGTCACGCGGGTCCGGGAATCCGGGGCTGCCGGCCCCCGTGGTTTCAAAAAAAGTGTCGTCCCCGGCTAATTGCCGCCCGCCTCGACACGCATCGTCGGGGCGGCCTCCTATGTCTCCGCGAGCCAGGAATAACTTTACCGTGAAAGCCGCGCGCCCGGGTCCTGCGACGTCCTTACGCGGAAGCCGCGCGGCTCGGTCGGCTTTTGAAGCCGTTCTATCGAGGTGTGGCCTCCTCCTCCTCCTCCACACCACCACTACCATCGCGGCCAACTCGTCCTCCCGCCCATTCAACCCACTCGCCCGACTCCTCCACCCTGGGTTCGCTCTCCTCAGAATCGCTGACCAAGGGCCAACTCCTCGCTCTCTCACAAACAAACAAACACACACACAGAGAGAGAGAGAGAGAGAGATTGTGTGAGAGTGAGAGTGGTGAGTGGAGAGGGGTGGAGGGGTGGCGGCGAGGGGAGTTACGGCGGAGTGGGAAAGACTCGGGCGGGCGAACGTATTGCAATTTGTCAGAGCCTTTCCCTGAATCGTGACTTTCGTCGCTGCGAAAAAAATTTTGAGTGATGCGCTAAAGATCCCGGTAATTGACGAGGGAGAGAGACTTGCCCCCTGAAATATTAATGTGCCGCGAAAAGGCCTCGAAGCATCTCGTTCCTTTTGGCTCTGTAAAAAAGTGTGTACGATGGTGATAGATGCGAGTGAGCATGTGAGCCACTAAATCATAATCTTCGCTTTCAGTCCCTTTAGTGCGATCGCTGACGGTCGATGAGCGGAATCTTTATTAAAAGCGAATATCCATTGCAACGTCCAAATGGCACTTGGGCGCGTCAATCACTTTACCACCCGCGCATCCTCTCTCTCTCTCTCTCGTCTCGGTCGCATCTTATGCGGTTCATGACCTCCGACACTCGGCACGACCACGCGAACGAAAATTAAAATCAGCCCCGATTACGTAAACAGGACGTTAATGATCATCGACTGTCTTCGGCGAGCGCGGCGATAAGAGGCGAGAAGA